CAACTTATTAAAAAAATCATGGTTATTAAGGTAATTTAACTTGTTAAATTTTAAATCTACTTTTCAATAATTATAAATTTGAGTTTTCTCAAAAACACTAAAAACTTGCATACTTGTTACTGGATATGTGAAATTAATTAAAATGCATAAATTGAATGAATACTTTACATTAATAAAAAAAATCATGGTTATAACCTGCAACTTTACCGGACATTAATGCTATTTTTAAATAAATAAAAAAATGATATGCGGTAGTTTTGTCAAATTTTTTAAAATAATGTGCTAGTTCTAAATAAACCGAGTTTTCCAAGCATGAGAATTGGCAGGTCCTCAAGTATTTGCACGAACATCCGCACTTCAATTCGGCCAATAAACTCGGTAGCTTTTTAAAGAAAGAACGGTGAAGGGGACAAGATGACATGGTGTACGACTCATTCTTGTCAAGCTGAGCCATCAATTGAGATTATGACTTGATCAATAACAGTAATATATTACCATGCAATGCACTAGAAGGCTGAGATGAGATTTTTTTTTCTTCAACATACACCATAAACTAGATCCTTAAAATATACAATTAACTGAAAATTAATGAAGGTAAAAGAGAACTTATTTTCAGTGCATGGTGTGGAACAAAGAAGATCAAAGTTAAATTCATGGACTTGAAATGTATCCATTAATTAGCTTTGATCACCACTGCCAAAATGATCGATTCTGTAGGTGCCAAAACAATATATATATATAATGATTATTTATACCACATATGAGACTTGTTTTTGTAACAATTCATAGAATACCAACCAAACTCCTGAACAATTAGCTATTACTAAATTGTTGCCCACATTACATTATGGATCAAATCAATGTTTTTTTAACATAAAACAAATGTTCTGACCATACTAATATTTTTTTTGAAAGTAAGAAATGTCTAAGACATAGATTGAGTTAGATAAGCTGAGTTGATTTAATAATATAATTAAAAAAATATTGACAAAAAATAAAGTGAAAAAATAGCAATTATTAAATATAAAAATGAGTTGGTAATATCATACTCGTGAGGAAAAAAAATAAAATCTCATTAGAAACTCGTCATCTCTTTACTATAGACATTACCTTATTATAAAAAAAAAAAGCTTATAACTTTAACATTATCACAAAAAACTACACGATGATACCAAAAAAAATCACATATGTTGTCAGAATATTAGCCCAAAAAACAAACCTAGCAAAATACCAAGACGTGATCTCATATTTATATTTAATTATTTAATTATAAAATAAAAAATATTCAATCAAAGCTAAATTCAACAAAAAACAATAATTAAAAAAACTCGAGTTAACCAACTTATTTTTAAAATTAATAAAAAATCCTATAAAAAATAAATAAAAAAATAATAGAACTTAAGATCTAATTAAATAAATATTAAAAGATCAAACTAAAAAAATATAAATTTTACAAAAAATTAAAAAATTTTCTAAACCTAATTTAATCTTTTAAATAAATTCATAACCTATAAAATTATAAACTCAAGCTTACTAAAAATAACTTTATTCCCGGTCAATTTAAGTTTTACTGCGTCCACTTAATAAGCTTTAACAAAAACATTAAAAGTATGGCAAAAGTACCTTGGAAGCACAATGCCACCCACACACGGATTAATGTGATTCGCAAAGTGCTTCTTCTTTCTTTTTTTTTATCTTCTGCTTCGAGAGTTTTTCCATTTCAGTCACCAAATTATTATTTTTTTAATTTAGTCCTTTAACATTGTGCTAATGAGAAATTAGGCTCAATTTCCCTCCCTTCTCTGAGAATGGAATGATCTGACATTAATTTCAATTAGAAGGGTCTCAATTCCTCATCACTAATAAAAACACAATAAATTAGCATGGCCAAGGTTTTTTTTCTAGTGAGATGATTACACACGCGAACATATGAATCTGGTCGTCGTCTAAATTAGTTGCAGCAAATTAAAGAAATCATGGATATTCCTCATGCCCCCTGCCCCTTTGTCTAATCAATTTCTAGACATACCACAGATCACCTAAATGGCCTGATTATTGGCTAATTCACGGCTTGCTTTCTCTTTTTTATCGACAGAAACATGACAACTTAGTTACGTTAAGATTACATCACCGAGATTTGACAAATAAAGCGCTTGCAGAGGTTACTTATGAAAGTCTGTGCGAAAATAGACGTTGAAAGGAATGGAAGAAGGATACGCCAGCGCCATTGACAAAGTAAGATCTCTTCATTTTGCTTTTTCTTGAGGTGAGTGCAACCACCGCCTGACATTTGAGTAATGAGCACGACGGTTACCACGTCGAAATCATCCAACTGTGTCCAAGTTTGAGTGTTTGGAACTCGGGAAAGTTTAAGTTTTTTATGTTTAATCTAGCCATAAACATCTTGTTTTAAGTTTTTTATGTTTAATCTAGCCATAAATATCTTGTTCTATATATATATATAATTTCTTTCTAAGAACTTTTAACTGACGTCAATATTCGACGCGAAAATTTTTGTCACCTAGTTAACCCGTCTGGCTCCTCTCTGAAGCCCCGGTGAATGAATTTTCCTAAACTACTAGACCATTGACAATTTCAAGTCACCAATTCAATAGTATCTTGTGATTCAAAAGAATAGAATAGAATAGAATAAAACGACCGTCAAGATATAAATTAATTAACAAAATCACGACGAAGCCTTTTGCAGAATCTTTTATATAAGGCATGGTTCTATGACTCTCGAAACAATCAAATCTCATGGCAAAGAGCAAGGTTCTTGTTGTTGGGGCTACTGGGTATATCGGTAAGAGAATTGTGAAGGCAAGCATAGACCAAGGCCATATAACCTACGTCCTTCAACGTCCTGAGACAGGCCTTGACATTGATAAGCTACAGCTGCTAATGTCATTTAAAAAGCAAGGAGCTCGCCTTGTTGAGGGTTCATTTTCCGATCAGAAAAGCCTTGTGGAGGCAGTAAAGAACGTTGATGTTGTCATTTGCACCATGTCCGGGGTGCATTTTAAGAGCCACAACATTTTGATGCAGCTCAAGCTTGTGGATGCCATCAAAGAAGCAGGAAACGTGAAGGTACTTGAATATTCATGATAATTCAGTTTGTACCGTAAGCTGTTAATGGCTATCTATGCATATTTTTTTCTCCTCCTTCGGGCTATCCTGCATGCAAGTGATGCAGTTCAAAGTTAGCTATTAGTTTTTAACATGGAGGTGTTTCGCTGCTGTTGTTAAAACTGGTAGCAAGAAGCACTCTAGAATACTGAATAATTAATGGCTCCACATAATTTAACTCTTTCCTGAGATGACATTAGAAACAATAGTATGACCTAGTTACCTTCTGGCGATGATCAAATCGCTTAAGATAAGATAGCGGTGACACTCCAACATTTAATTAAAGCGAAGCAAAGCATGATATGCCTGATCAGTTTAGTCGCTGTGTTATAATCTATTTGCTTATGGCAAAGGCCCAAATTAAAGGCTTGTGCAGTATACTTTCCACTTTGAAACAATATCCTAATTAAGTTCATTTAGGATATTAATTAATAACGAAGATCAAATTGTAGGTTTCTTAAGGATTCCTAACCAAATAACAATAAGTTAATGGAAGATAACATAAAAAAATCACTGTCACACTTGCTTAATTTTGTATTATCTTACTAGGGTACTAATTAAGAAGTCTAAACATACTTCTATTGAGTTGTGGCAGCGTTTCTTGCCTTCGGAATTTGGTATGGACCCAGCAAGAATGGAGCATGCACTAGCACCAGGAAGAGAAACATTTGACCAGAAAATGATAGTAAGAAAGGCAATTGAGGATGCTAAGATCCCCTTCACTTATGTATCCGCTAACTGCTTTGCGGGTTACTTTGTTGGCAACCTCTCTCAGCTTGAGACCCTAACCCCTCCAAAAGATAAAGTTTGTCTCTATGGAGATGGAAATGTTAAGGGTAATGATGGTTGTGAGGAGAAAGAAACCCTTAATCCTATTTGGTTGTAGTTTGTACTGAATAATGCTATATGTTTGTTTTGTTGTTTAGCTGTTTATATGGATGAAGATGATATTGCAACATACACAATCAAAGCAATAGATGATCCACGAGCATTGAACAAAACATTGTACCTAAGGCCACCAGAAAACATTCTCTCACAAAGACAGTTAGTTGAGATCTGGGAGAAACTCAGTGGAAAGGAACTAGAAAAGATCAGCATTCCCGGAGAAGACTTCCTAGCTTCCATGAAAGGTACATATGAGGACTAAACAAAAAAATGATCGAACATCATATATACATCACTCTTTTTCATCTTTTTTTTCATTGTTTACCTTGGTTATATTGGTTTATTAAATTTATTTTTGTATGTTGCAGAGAAGGATTATGCAGCAAAGGCAGGAATGGGGCATTTCTATCATATTTCCTACGAAGGTAGTTTGACAAATTTTGAAATAGGAGAAGATGGAGAAGAAGCTTCAAACCTTTATCCAGAAGTGAAATACACTCGCATGGATGAATATCTGAGTATCTTTGTTTAAAAAGTAACCCACATCCTACAGCAGCAGTATAATGAATAGCTGAAAATCTTCTTCTTGCTTGCTTTTTTTGTCCTCCAGCTCTATTAACGTTTTGTATCATCAGAACGATATGTATCAAGAACAAATTGTGTTGAATGTTTTAATGAAACGATTAGTGGGCTTATCAATTAATATTACTGCTCTTTTCTTCCGTCGAGATTTATCTTGAATGCCTATATGCTTGCTAATTTGTGGCCTGGCCTTGAGTATTATTGACCTTAAAGCTTCTTTCGAAGATTAAGGCTTTTAACCTTAACGAAAACGCAGGCCTAGCATCTGGTATAACAGGACCTGACTGCTGAGGCCATGATGACAAATCTTAAGAAGACAGAGGGGCCTAGCTCCGACTTGAGTGTTTTGTACTAATGTAACCTGGTGATTTACGTGCATGCAGTTCTCAGAGCAGAAAAATGAACCATACACAACAAATTGTAAATAGAGGATCTGTCAAGTTTATAACATAATTTATAAGCAGCTTTTTAGGGTCACACTATAAGGAGTTGCAAAATGTTTGTTGTGGAAGTAATTACTAAATATTACTACTAATTTATCTCCTATATGAAAGCATTTTGAGTTCTAACTCAGATCCATTTGCAGCAACAAAATCATAGGTACCCTTGGTGTTTAAGTCAAAATGTACGGAATCTCCATGAAGGTGGTGCTTCACATCTTTAGTTTCCTGTGTCTGTCCCTCTCTATCGATATGGATAGCCGAACCATTTGTCTTGATATTGACACCTTGCAAATCAGTGATGTGTGGTTTCCTATCTTCTGCATTCAAATTCTCAATGAGACTAGATATAGCCAAATTGAAGCCTGTTAATTGAGCTCTTGTAGCTTCTAAATTCCCATTTCCGTCGTCATTCAAGTTCTGTGAGAGGCTCTTCTCGGCTTTCTCCAGTATGGACTGCAAGTACTTCCCTTGTGCCTCTATTCTCATCTGCAGCTTCTGCTGTACCTGTTGTAGAGAAGATCAACTCAACGTATCAAACTAGAAATTTGAGAATGACCTGGCTAAGTTTAGTGATATTCTAGGAGAAACTACCAAAACAGAGAAACAAAGACAGAGAGAGGGCAGACTCTTATGTGAAAGTTATACCTCAAGTTGTTCTTGTAATGTTTTCTGTACTTCAATCTGACTATTCAATGCCTCTGCAACTGGGATTTCTCTGTTTCGAACATACATCAATTAGTACCAACATTGAAATTTGGGAATAAACACGTTTAGCCACCATACTCTTGTTTTTTTTAATGATTTTTGCCTCGACACAAAACTTTTAATGGATTTTGTTGTTTAACTCGTTATTGCTTTAAGGACTGTACCATTCACCCAACTCCGTTAGTTTGAGTGGTCATTACCTCTAGAAAATAACATGAGGAACTTTTAAAAAGAGACCAAAAAAAGAAGAAAGAATCACATTTTCTTAAATTAAAAGAACCTAACTCATTAAAAAAACATTTCAGTTTCTTCCCTTTTTAAGATTTTCTTTTCAAGGACAATCCTTAATGGAATTACTAGTTAAGGGGCATAATCCATAAAAATCTCTGTACAGGGGCAAAAACACAAACACTTGTAGATAGAAATAAGCAATGTTCAAGGAAACAGTTAAGGGCTTGAGACATCCAGAAAAAATCATGTTTTTTTTCTCACAGAAACTACATGTAAATACAGAAGAACGACGGCGGAGCATACCCTTGTTCTTTATCCATTCTTGGTGAACTGGTACTTGTCGCTGAGGAACCATGACTGAAGTTTACATATGAAGCCCCTAGAAGTCAATTGAAGTGGTAAGTCGCGAGACTAATAATACACAGAACTAATTGGCTATGCAAGTTCTTGTAAGAGCTTTATAAGCTACAGTGGGATCAAGCGCCAATTTTTCAAGCTGAAACCAGTTATTTGTGTTCAAAATGGGATAATAAGAAAAGCAATGATGAACCAACCTCTGCTCTCCCTGCTTTGTTCTGAAATGTTCTGTCTCCGAGCCTGGTGCCCTAATCTGTATTTCTGCAGATAAATAAGCCAGCATATTTACAGAGTCATAATTCAAAGGCAAAAGGAAAGGAAATAGATCAAGCATCAGTGATGTGAGCAGCATTAGTTATGTTAAAACTGTACCTGTAAATGACTCTTTAAGTGGTACAATGTCAAACCCTTTAATCCCATTAACCTCAAGACTGCCTTTGGAGTTGCCTCTGAAAATAAATCCAGTCTATATAATTAGATTAACTACGAGATTAAAGAGAAAACATTCAAATGTAGACTCAATTTGATTAAGTTCATACAAATATTAAGAAGAATTCGTTAGTAATAGACCAGATATATGAACTGTCTTGTCATTATCGTGTTTCGAGTGCCAACGGCATTGCTATAGTCAAGGCAGAGCCTGTGTCTTTTTATCACTGGGAGCAGTTATTTCTGATATAGTTTCTGTAAAATCGAGTCAAGACCAAGGAGAAAATTTGCAGCGGCTCTAATCATATTTCCTGGAAGATTCCAAATGAGCTAGGCGTGCTAATATGGCTATTTCAATTAATATGGGCAACTGAATCAAGCAAATCATCAATCTTGCAAATCCTTCCTAGCTAGCTAGAAATTAAATAAAGTTTAAACAAGAAAAAAGAAGAAGAAGATGAATTTAGAGTGAACTTACTGTCGGGGCCACCAAGCTTGGTGACAGCATCAACAAAACGATCATGAAGATCAGCAGTCCACCTAAGTCTTGGCTTAGGGTCTCTTGTCATCATCACCATCCCATTCTCGTATGGATAATTCCCTCCCCCAACAAATGTTGTTCTCTCCATGTATAACACCTCCCACAAAAAGTTATCTTTTCTACTTCACTGGCTGGAGAATAGAAGTCTCCAAGCAGCTTTTTTGCTTCTGCTCTTTCTAAAACTCTTTCTTTCCCAAAACATAAGAAGACCCAAAAGTGAAAAAGGAAGAGAAGGCTATCAAGAAAGTGAAAAGGATAGTCCAGAGGATTTGTTTATGTGGAGCAATTCTTTGCAAGAAGAAGGGACCAAAATTCAACAAGCGTGCATAATAAAGGAGAAAAACCAAATACAAACAAGTGTATACAAGTGCTTATATAGATTTTTTTTTACTAGTTATTTGAACAACAACATGGTGTTCTTGTTTGATTGAGGAAGGGACAAGATAACATTAAAATAAATATTTTATTAAAAAATCATAGATTGAAGTGATATCATTGATTGAATATTTATAAGCTAAGCCTATGTAGCTTGCAATATTTGATGTTGAGGAGATATATTAGTAACATATTTTTAAAATTTTGGATGTGAGATTTCATGTTATTTGATTGAAAAATTCTTTTATTTACAAAAACAGAAGAGTAAAATAATATATATGTGAATGGACATGCTGAGGAAAGCTCGGCGAGGAATCTGAAGCAACATGGCTGAAGAAATTTAGAATTGGAACACATGTTAACGTTGTCATGTTCATGTTGACCATAATAACCGCTGGATGTAGCTTTGGAAAACATATAGATGATCAAACGGTGAAAGGGTCACTGAGACGGAGAGAAGGACAAGAGCAAAGTATAGATTATATGCCACGTAGGATCCAGCGTGGAATATTCGCCGGCGGAGAAGATGGAAGGAATATTCGTCGCGTCACGTGGAGGGGCCGCAGGAAGTGTAGGTGGGGACAAGACGGGGGCCATATAATGCTGATTGAAACGACGGTGTTTGACATGTGGGCGGTGGTCCAGTTCATGAATCAGCCACGTTTCGAAGTCCCCGCGAGGGACGGTGAGGGCTGGAATGCTTGAAGCTTCAAGTTGAGAATTATTGACTACCAGGTAATAAATTATCCAAATATGCCAACTGTTGGTTAAATTTTTTAAAAAATATAAAAAAAATTACTAGATGTTGCTAATATTTTAGTTAAAAATAATTTATATGTATAATGGTTGATTGGACATAATTTGGTTAATTTTATAAATTTAAAAATAATTTATGCAACTTTTAAAAACATAACTTAACTAAAATAATTTTAAAATGATATTTTTTTAATATTAAAATAATAATATATTAGATTAATTTGGATTAACTTAGGTTAATATGTAAAATTTATGATATGAAATTATAAAAATATCATGAAAAATAAATCAAAATAAATTATAAAATACAATTTTTAATCAATTCAATGTTAAAAAATAAAATAAAAAAATAAAAATAACTTGAATTAACCTATCAAACTTGAAACTAAGGTTATAAAATCAAAATAATAATATGAAAAACATACTAAAATAAATTATAAATTATAATTCTTAATATTAAATAATATAATTAAAAAAATATAAAATCAACTCAGGTTAGTCTTTCTAATTCATCAATCGATTTATCAAATTGAAATAAACTTATAAAAAAAATTTAATTTAATATAAATAAATTTATCAAATCTATAAATTTAATTATAAAATTAAGATAACCTAGAAGAATAAAATTTCCCACCCTTTTAGTTTATAACTGATTTTAATCATGGTCATAAACACAAAACTAGTGATATTGAACCCATCACAAATTTGCAGTAGTTGGTATTGGGGTAGGTGTTTATGTTGCTGCTTCAAGGATGAGTAAGATTTCACTTCTTCTAAATTAGACATAATATGATCTGTCACGTATAAATTATAAATAAAGTTTTTTATAAAAGAAAAGTCAACTTTAATTTTTTTTTTAAAATTAACCATCAACTTGGTTAATAGAATGAAATCTAAACCATTGAAATCAAATGCAAAGCTACACCAAGATATGAGGAGGCTACGACTCCGGGGTTTAAATAATGAAAATCGAACAAATATATGTATATATATACTGAATTGAAATCATTTACGTTTTTTTATAATCCAAATACGTAAGACTCATATTAGTGACTAAAAATCTGTGATCCAAGATAATAATTAATATGATTTGAAGTTTATATATTTAATATTTTCTTAAGATACCATGCATGCATGCACACACATGTATACTATTAATATATGAATCAATTTAATTTGAATTGTCAAACTTTATTTTAACAATTTCAAACACTACACTTCATTTAATAAAATAATTATATAGACATGATATTTTATGTGTAACCTTTTTCATTTATAAATATATCCCAACTTCTTCTCAGTATAAGAAATTTGTTAATCAGTCATGCACTTTATAATCCATCGCCCGACAGACATGGATTTAAATTAATAGTTTGGGTTTTACTAGTATATATAATATATCGTGTTGTTCTATTCCTAACAACTTGAAAAGAGTCCAATCCATTTATAATGATCAAAATGATCTTATTGATTATTTTTTAAAACATGGTTATGATAGAATCACGGAATGTGAGTGACTTGATGATTTATAAAGACCACTCCTTCATGTTTTCAATCACGAGTACAGAGACCCCATTAATTTCTCCTAATAAGCATATAAACAGTGGAGGAGTCAGAATTTTTAGGTACTATCAATACTATATAACTTTTCAATCTTATTTTTTTTTAATTTGATTGAGTTACATGACTTGAAATTTTATATATTTTTTTTATTTTTAAAAGATTTATACTTGAAATACTTGTTTAGTGACATGTTAATTTAATTAATGAACTTGTTATTTTTATTATTATTATTAATAGCTACATAATGAACTTGTTATTTTTATTATTATTATTAATAGCTACATAATAATTAACACAACTACACAACAATTTATTGTTAAATAAAAATCAATTGAGTTACACAATATACAACTACACAATAATTTATTGTTAAATAAAAGTCAATTGAGTTACACAATAATTCTAAATTTTTCATATGAAATTCATAGTAAAATACATATCAATTAATCAAAACTCATTTTAATTCATATCTATATATATATATAATAAGTATGTTGATTAAATTATACTTGGTCATTTCTAGACATTTAAATTATTTCTAAATACACACAAAATAGTTGTATGGCCTCACTAGGTTAAATATGTGAAATAAGTTTTGATACTATATTCTAGTTTCAAATTAAAAAATAATAATGAGAAAGAAAAAGTGTAGCTTATAGGATTTAAACCCATACCCTCTTCTAATTCCAAGCATCTCGTTAATAATTAATTACAAATAAATTTGTGATATAAAATAATAATCAATATATATACATTGTAAATTAAAAGATATAATTAAATAATTAATCCATAATTATAGTAAATTAAAAGACTTTATTTAAATAATTTCAATAATTTACTTTGTTAATGCAAGAGATCTCAAGAATACTGGTTTTGCATGAATATTAATTTATTTATTTATTATAAAAAAAGAAATATTTCATTGATTAAATTAGTAAATTTAAATATTTATTTTAAACATATTTAAATACATTTATATCAAAACCCCTAAATTATCATAAACCCTATTATTTTTAATAATTAATTATAAAAAAATAAAACTAAATTAGACAATAAAAGAAATAAAAGAAATTTATCTGAAACATAAAGCAAAAAAAATTAATTTGAAGAGAACGTTACATGATAGAAGGAGGCAGGTAACAACGGCTCAAAATAAAAAGGAGTGTTAGTTAATTAAAAAAAAGAAGAAGAAGAAGAAGTAAACGAGCTCCACATATATTATATATTATATTAAAATATAAGTAAAGAATAACTTTCCACTTTCCAGGTACAAAACCCTCATCAAACTATTATATTAATATCTTAATATAAAGAATATTAAAAAAAATTAATGATGCAATTGCCCCCTTTTGTCTCCAAGTGACTCCACCACTGTATGTAAGTTAATTACCTAGTGTTTCAACATGTTAAATAATTATTTTATTTAATTGATTAACCGGTTAGGTAAATCATTAATACATTATTACTATAATTTTTTTTTATTTTTTCAGATAAAAACTTCTGAGATTTAAAACTTGTAAGACTTACACTAATTTATATTTAATTTTTATTAAATAAAATGATTATAATAAAATTTAAATTCATGATTATTTGATGAATAAAACTCTAATATTATATAAAAAATTAATTTAATCAATAACTTAAACAATTAATTAAAATACTAAAATATAATTTTAAAATATATTTTAATTAATAATTAAAATATCGACATATAATTTATATAATTCTCTCAATCACTGCATTCGTACGAAACATTTTTGCTCTCATTCGGGTTAAAATATGGTTATATTAATTAAAATATCAACATATAATTTATATAATTCTCAATCACTGCATTCTTACGAAACATTTTTGCTCTCATTCGGGTTAATCGACATATAATTTATATAATTCTCTCAATCACTGCATTCGTACGAAACATTTTTGCTCTCATTCGGGTTAAAATATGGTTATAAAACGTGTCCGACAGTGAAGGTGAATGGTCGTGGATTAGGTACTTTGTTTCGTGGAAAGAGAAGAAGCTACCGCCCTCTGCGTAAAATATTCCTTTCGTGTGCATGAAAGCTGTGTTGTGATGAATCTATCTCCGCTCTTCCTTTTCCTATTCTCTTTTCACACTTTTTTTTACCTGTTTGTAAATTGTAACTTCTTCATTTTGTTTTGTTTTTTTTAATAAAATAAAAGTAATTAAGATGTTGGCTTGTTTGATGGTAAAAACACCCCAAATATAATATTGTTTCAATTTAGCCCCCAAACAGATTTTTTTTATTAATTCTTGATATCATACCATAGCAAGCCTTCTCTAATCAACTTAATTATTTTCAAATAAAAGGCCTCTATAATCACTCCTCAGAATGATTCGTCCTTTATAATTCGGTGCCTTGTAAGTCTACCAATACCTATTCAAAACACCCTTGACATTTCAGCCTTTCGGCCTTAGCCACCCATAGAATAAATCTTTCTATAGGTACCACTGTCAATTAACATTGCTGCTTCATGATGTCCCATTTTTTATGCCATTCGCATAGTTCTTGGGGCAGACCATCCTGTGAATGCGTGCAATGTGATTTCAGGTTCAATCCTAGGTTCTTGTAACACCACTACATCTCCATCGTGGTTATCCTGTGATACTTGTTGATCCTGGTATCCATCACATCTCCAACTGAGGTTTTCTGCTTCTATGCCTCACTGTGAAACGTTCATTGCAATGGAAACATAGGCCTTGTGCTCTCCTCCT